TGCGCTATAAATTTTACACTTTTATCAAATTCTGATCGGACATTTTTACTACCATATTGAAGAGCACATTAAGTACTATCACGACACTCCGCCACAGCCTTCTGGACGAACGCCATCGAGAGATTCTGGCACGCGACCGCGATGTGGTACCTGAGATCAGCGAAGTAGTCGATTTCTCCGCCACCGTAGCCGCCCTCTTAAGGTCCGCACCCGAGCATAGGTAATTGAGTGGGGTGTGCAGCGTCAGGGACATACTTCAATATTATTTTTTTTTATTTTAATATTACATCTTCATCAGGTACGAAACGCCCTTCCATTCGAAGTAGGCGGGAGTTTTTCCAAAACCCTTTGATTCCATGTGGTGGCACCCAAACCTGTAGCAGCACAAGGTCTCCAAGAAGGTACGGGCGACCACATGTAGGGAGGATATTCTTCTCGAGTTACTTGATGTAACCGCCAGCGCTCACCTTCAGTCGGGGTCTACAAAGAAAATATCGGTCTTCCCCTTTCCAGGTACCCCGGTCCATACCATCAACTCGCGCCTCGGCGAATACGGTGAAGATGATGTCCTAGACCGTAGCGAAGTTGAGGAAGCTGCTCGATGTGGGAGGTCTTGCAGATCAAGAGTACTGACCTCCAGGTAGCTATCTGTGGATGACTTCATTCAAGAAGTTTCGCAGCTGTTTGGAGGCGACGTGAATTCCAAAGGTGTTCTCCAGTCAGGCCGCGACTGGAGATGACTTCATATTTTGGCGTACATGAAGGCGATTGGCGGCAGCCTGCTCCAGCTTATAGAGGAAGATCTTGGGTATCTTCCACTCTGGTACTCATATCCACTTCCCCTGTCTGGGCTGCGAAAACTTCGTTGATATGTGACTTGGTCAAAGTGACTTTTTTTGGCCACCCCTGTATATGCCACTTCAGCACTGCAGCCGCTTCATACCATTCCCTTCGCTTCATATTTTATTAGCAAATGAAGCAAAACGAGCATCTGGTAAGGTCGTCCATTTGTGGGCGGGCGGGCGTGGCGGCGTTTGTGCGTGGAGGGGCGTTTGGGTCGGAACTGTTGTTAGCTTTGATAGAACCTTTATAGGTGTATCTCCATAGGGAAACCGCTGCCACAGAGTCTGTCAGCCGGTCGCAGAAATGCGCCCTGCCAGACGTATGAATCCTACTCGTCTTTAGGGATTTATCGTGCCAACTGCCTTTAATTTGCAGTTCTATACGTTGCCCCACATAATGATAGTTCCACCTATGAATCTTACAAAATCCCGTCAAAATCCCGTCAAAACGTTCTCGAAAAACCTTCAAAAAAAAAAAAAAAAAAAAAAAAAAAAAAAAAAAAAAAAAAAAAAAAAAAAAAAAAAAAAAAAAAAAAAAAAAAAAAAAAAAAAAAAATCATTGTGGTTGTCGGTGATTACAATGCAATGCAGCGAACTACACTAGTAGACTATTCCCTGCGGTTGAGCAATAGGTGTGTCCTTTCACATTGGTGATGATGTGGAGACACACTTGACCGGAAACTGCGACGGCCATTAGAAAAGAAGTAGTCAACAGTTGAAAACCACAACAAAACGCAGTTGGTTAGTATTTCCCTAGCCTCAGATAAACTACTGTTTACCCGCAACCCAGTGAACTTGTGTTACTCTTCGCGTCGCCAAGTGCCGCTAAAGGAACAAGATAATAACAAAACAAGTTCCAAATGGGTACACTCGCGCCGCGCAAATACGATGGACGCTGAAAACACATCTTAAATTCCCATGTTGTTTAGTTACCTTCATAACAAATATTCTCGTTTGTTCCCTTCTTCTACTTCATCTACTTGCAGAACCATCGAAATAACAGCGAATTTCCTTGACCCTCATGCTATCTGATCAAATGTTTCCAGTATCTTTGCATTTCCTATTCCGATCGAGAACACGGTCGAAGAGAACCTACCACAGGAATGACGGGAATTTACCTCTCCCAACTGAGTATCCCCTACATCTGCTCGAATGCGACTCCATGGGCGGAAGGAACCGCCACCATCAGTTGGAATTTTTTGTAAGCACGATTCATCACTTCTTCAGATCTACATCGCGGCATGATTCCGCACGGACGCCACTCTTCGATAACCTAACTAATCCCGACTAACTTTGGCGAACCTTTCCGAAGATGGGAGGACGAATGGAGGGGACGTCTATCCCTCAACTCTTCAGAAAAAGATAGTCTTGCGGCGAAGCCTACCACTGGTACATAGAAAATCCTCTTCCAACAAAACACGACCCCTTTCCAACAGCCGACTACAGCCCTACTCCCATCGTGTGTTTTATACAACAGATGGTGAGCCTTGATCCCATCTCCTTTCCAAATAAACACAGAACTCTATGGCATGAGAAGGAACGATGAATAGCTGAAGATGCCAGCAAATTACATGTCATTGACCGGGTGTCGGTCAGCGGATAGTACGGTTGAATAGAAAAGGGAAAATTCCTGAATTCTCCCCTAAATTCATACACTCACTCTCTATCGTCCCCCCCCCCGTCTTCAGCTATCCCCGTGGTCTGTTCCCTAAAAAAACTTTGCAATGATGGTGTGGAAAACAGTGAGAGTTCTGCCTGTTGTGGTCAGGTTACACCTGCCAGTCCCACCAACATTAATGAATGACTCTCATTGTGTCCCGTCATGTCGTATAAGCGAAAAACTATCATCATGGACTTGCCATTGCCCTGCTATTGATCACACTACCAAAGAATACCGTTTGCAACCCAACGACACTCATTTCAGTGATTCTCACGCTGTTTTTTTATTTCACAAAAATCCGGCCCAGTTTCGGAGTTCTCCCCTATATTCTTCCCTTCACCAGTCACAAACATCTCCTAAAACTGAGCCTTTTCAAGTCTCTGGTTTCCGTTCTGTGAAGTTTCTAGTGGTACCTTTTTTCAGAACACCAACTCTTTTTGAAAGATGTCCTCTAGAAGCGACAAAAAAAGCGACAGTCCTACTATGCGAATCGATCATTGCATACTTCCTCCGCCTTCGCTTCGGCCGGTGCAACGGAAAGTGGACACGCTGGTGGATTAAATCCAGCACTCAACCCAATATCTTTTGAGTTCGCGAAGCCGGCGCCGCTGGGATTTCGTAATCCTCAAGAGGTCTCGCTGACCTGTGTTGAGGTTAAAGGCGTCGACCCATTAGTTAACATACTCTGAAACCATGGCGAAGTGCTATGGGGTGGACTGCTGGCCTTCTTCATTGCCGGAACGACAGCCTTTGGAGACAGGTCCAGAACATGCACTTCCCGCCGTCGGGAAAGTTATTGTAAAATACGAGCTGTTCGAAAATTGCCTTGCGTCCCAGACATGGGAAGGGCGCGGCTGTGTACTTCATCTGAACGTGACGTAGGATGAGTTGTTCCTATGTTGTGTTCATGCAGCTATTATTATGTGTTGTGCTGAGCAGGCTGATTGTTGTTGTTTTGGGCCGATTGTCCCAAAACAATATTCGTGCGCTGTTTATCGAACTGGGGGGGGGGGCCACTTATGTGACTAATTCACTGCTTCCCTTGTTCCGGTTTGCAAATCTCACTTTGGTAGAACTTGTGAACTCTTGTGAAGCTGGAGCAGGATCGTCTAGCCACCATCCCAAAACGTGTCAACTCGAGAAAACGCTACCTAGATGGGTCGACACATCTATGGAAAGCAAAATGCCCCTCCCCCCCCCCCCGTCGATAAACTGCGCCCAATATTCTTCCAGCGAAAGGGTAGAAGCAGCGGCTTTCAAATGAACGACGCAGCTACGCCCTTCCGGAAACTTGATGATGATGTGTTAGCAAACTGTTTTTCTCTCAACATGTAATTGCAATTACAGATCATCTTGAAATAGTTTCTTGAACTATTTCGTTAGTTTTCCAGGCAAGTTCTGAGCGAGGATGTTCTGTCCCAAGGGAACCAGCCTGTGAGTTTTCTTATCGATTGTGGTGTTATTGTGGTGACGTACCTGGATTCGCTTAGTTATCATTTGCTTGAACTTGGTGATGAAGGGCAGTGTTGGCGGGCCACTGCTCTCCACCATCAGGTGTTCTACCACCTCCTCGTTCCTTCCCCCCAGCTCACTTCGTCCTTTCTATGCTTTGATTTATCTATCTTTATTTTTTATGTTACCGTTTATCGATCTGTGTTGGATAACTGCGTGGTGTTGTTGCTTTACTAACCGTTAAAAAAATCATATTCATACAAAACCTCATTTTTTCCACGGCATTGTGTTCGCCTGCCGTTCAGACTTCAGTAGTGTGTGCTGCTTAGCAAGTATGCATGAACCTGATCTCACTGATCCAAAGAAACTGGCACTTCATAAACTGTACAGACCGAAAAGAGTCACTCCAAATGAGAGGGGGTATCAACTTCTCAATACTCCTCGCATAAACAAGGTTAGTTACTTATTCCATAGTTGAGCGCTGTCCACAAGCCAAGTATTACATATGTCGAGCTATAGCCCCAGCGTAGTACAAATTATCGCATCAAGGAGTTGCCTCTTCGCGACCCGCTCGCGTCTCTTACATGATTTTATCGCTGTCTTTGTTTCAGCTTTATGCGTGCACAATTCATGGTCCGGTGTTACAAATCAGTCTGAGCATAAAAGGAACATAAATACATTTGAAAATCGTCTGTAGTAAAAATTAGTAGGATGATGAGCCTATTCGGACTTTGAGGGGAGGGGGAGGGGGAAGCGTGTGTTGCACTTTCGCCATTCTGCCTTATCGTCGCGTTCATTGTGCCTACTAGATAAAGTATATCTTTACAAGGGATGACAAGCATCCTCATAGGCCTTCACTGGTACCACTCTGGCTTCGCAAGATTTCACAAATCTCTACTTGCCGGCAACAAGGCGATGGGAAGTAAAGAAAACGCAAAATGCCTCCCCAAGCCGAACTGCGCCTAAATATTATTGTCCTGAATGAAACTTAAATTGCTAACAAGGAAATGATAATGTTTAAATAAAAAATATTAGAAAAGTGAAATCGCGTAGAAAGCAATTTATCTCGCCGCTATCACATGCAGCAGCCTTTAGACATTCCCTGAATACTTTCATTTTTCTCCAAGTGAAAGGAGAGAAATGTCGCGTTTGAGCTGATAATTAGAGGATGAGGACATTCAAACGGCTCCCCGACTCACAATAGTATAATCGTAAACGAAGCTGGAAGATATTCGCCTTTTAGGTCTGAAGGGGAAATGAGCTTGATGGCGTCGGGCGAGCTGCACCTGAAAATATTAGCGATGCAGTTTCGTACAAAAAGCCATTTGAGATAGCCTGGAGGAAGCCTCTTATAAGTCTTTTGTTCCCTACGCCCACTAAGGTTGCTAGAACCCAATATTTATCCATTTCTGTGGTCATGTTAATTTCAGGCTTTTTAGGGCATGGCATTCTCCTTGTACGAACGTCAACATCTTGGAATTCATGGACTATTGCCGCCGGCCTTTATGACTCAAGAGCAGCAGGTATATCGTATGATGATGAGAATCCGAGAGCAAAAGGACAACTTTGTCGAAGTTTATATCACTTCTTTTTGGCACCTGTTTCACGACAATAGCTATCTTTCTTCTCATTTTCAAGGTATATTATCCTCGATGAACTACAGTGTCGCAATGAAAAGTTGTTCTATCGAATTCTAAGTGAAAACGTCAGGGAATTGATGCCTATCGTTTATACTCCTACAGTCGGTTTGGCTTGTCAAGAATTCGGACACAATTACAGGCATCCAAAGTAAGTTCATTATCTGATTTGTATTTTTGACACCAGTTGGCTAGGGAGGGAACTGCGGCATTTGAAGGCCTCCTTGTGCAGAACTGGGACTGCCGTAGGATTCTTCCAACTATAGTGCTGAGAAGGGTTCAGTTCCCTAGGATGGAGGATCTCTGGGGCAACAAATCCTTTAGACAAGGGGAATACCACACAGACAGTCCTTCAGATGTCACCGTAGACCAGTCACTTGCCACGATTTCTCGTCCGGCGCGGGGAGGGGGAGGGGCGGCACTTGTATAGCCACTGGTGCGTCCCTTCTCATAAATCAAGCAGAGCACATTTCTTCTCTGCGCGACTATGGGCGACTCTGGCGCGTTTGCGCTGTTGCATAGGCCTTGATTTAGAGCAATGGACAGACAAACGCGGCGCAGTGACCCCTCCCAACGATCTTAGTGCCTTTACCTCACTTCAAGGATTTTCATACGACAGTTTCCATTTCAGGGGGCTCTATATAACCATTAATGACAACAGTATTAGCAAAATCTATCAAATTTTATTAGTTAAACTGGCCATATCAAATTGTTACGGTGAGTCGTACGGCTAGAGCTGTCTAGAACTAAGATTTGGATTCTTGAGCGACATTTCGCCTCCAGTGCTCGATTTGATTTGCCGCAAAGTATTGCGGTTTGCTGAATTTAGCAGACACTTGCTAGTTCAGAAACCACTATTTTTCCCTATCCTTCCATTAATTTTGCTAGCCGATGTGTTGAATAGAAAACATAACAGTAAAAAGTAGGAGAAAAGTAAATTAAGGAGCGCTTAATTCCATGATCAGAACCAGGTCAGTTGAATAGGAATGTAGCAAAATTTCCGAAAGAAGGTTGAATTTACGCGCCAATGAGAGACTTCGGCGATTTATTATGGCATCAGACAGATATGCACGATGACTTTGTTATCACACAAGTTTTCCGCATGAACTTTTTGCGAGCACCTAACAACTCTTGCGGTTGATGGATGGCAAAGGTTCATCAACCTAGCAGTTGTGGCGCAGTTGTTTTGTGAATGTCATAGGCAAATAAAGGTGTTTACGGGTTAGTGAAAAAATTGCCGCCACGGTGGCCATGTGAAAATGTTTTGATTGCTTATGAAACAGTGTCGGGGGTGTTATAGACAAAAAATAGGCTAGTCTCCATTCCGCAACCGCCCTTTGACGATGCTTCTTAGGTTCTTAAAGGCAGAACCCTAAATTATTCGCCATTTCAGATAGTGGAAGAGGGGTTCCATATTACACGACAGAGGTTGATTGAGTCGTCAGTGAAGGTCAAAAAAGAGCACAAACAAACATGCCACCTACCCTAAGATTAGACCCCACGTTGATCAGTTTGTGCATGCCTAATTAACTCTATCTACAGTCTTCATCAATTACGCGACTGTCCGCAGGGGGGGAGTATAGTGCCCCGGCGCTGCCCGTTTCCGCGGTTCCAAAGTCTTTCTGCACCAGTTGTTGAAGCGATCAAATGACATAACAGCATTATATCCTTCGTATTACTCGTTTTCTACCACTTTTTGTCGCATACGCGCTTCAAAGAAAAGGCTGAGAACGGCTTCAAACAGTGTGCGCACTCCTTCTGGCCGATACGCCCCGACAGTCCGTAATGATGAGGAGTGTACACACTGCCGCCCTTCATACGCACAGCTGATTCAACCAAGCTAAGACTTTACGATCATACAAGTGACGATTTTTATTGGTTTTTGCAAGGAAAATTCGTCACTTGTACGTTCGTATTAGAGTTCTTATCTGTTCGTTTCATTGAAAGACGGAGGCGGAGTTCACTGGAAAAAAAAGGAGACCACTGAACCTATGTTGCGCTATAGCGCCCCTCCTTTAGAATTTTTTGCCGCGGAACCGGTACAAAGTTTGTTCGTCGCGGACCACTTTAACTTCCTGAGGCCATATTTTCAACTTCGATACTTGATCGCGGACCGTGCCTTCAAGATATTTTATTATTTAAAAGGGTTTGGAACACTAAATCTGTGGTCTTTCCAAAACAACGGAAGAAAACTCGAAAGTGCTTTGTTACCATTCGTTCGTGGCCTTTATGTAAAGCGCAACGGGTTTCCTCCCCCTCCCCCCAGTTGACGCGCGGCAAATTCACTATTCGTGATAAATAGCTGATCATCACGGATATCCCCGCCCCTCCCCCCCCCCCACCGGAGAACAACTGGTGAAATGGTATGCATGTTGGTCGTACTGAACGGCGCACCTTGGGAAAAATTTCACAAAACGCGCTCATTTGCGTCGCCATCAGCTTATAGAATCTTCACATCTCCTATAGTCGCCAGAGGTTAGTGTTTGGAAAAAGTAACCAGAAGATAATTCCAGAAACAAATTCGAAAAATAAGACAAGTAAGTTGGAAAACAATTATGATTAACAGCAAACACTGAATTATTTCGTGTAGTTCCTTCCAACTTCTCCTGAGCTAATTTCTCTCGTAATTTTAGCGCAATCTTTCAGGCCATAGTAGTGACTGATGGTGAACGAATTCTTGGTCTCGGTGATCTCGGTGCCCATGGTATGGGAATCCCAGTTGGTAAATTAGGTCTCTATGTGGCTCTGGGAGGAGTTCAACCTAGCTGGTGTCTTCCGGTTGTTCTCGACGTTGGCACTAACAATCAGGTATGGTTTCTATTATATTTTTCATGCATGCAGATGACTTGAGATGAGCCATGCCTTCAGAAGGCAGCCCTCGTGCGCTTCAGTAAAATACTCAGGGACGAGTACACCGCCAAGGGTTGAGGTTTATGGTTTATCATAGTGAAGGAATCCTAAACGCACCAAACAAAAGTGTCAGCCCGCCAGCAAGTACTGCTGTGCTGCATTCGGGTTGGCTAACCTTGGGCAATAGACGTTTAGGATCTGCACTCTGTTGAGTACTCTTTATTGTCGACGTTGATCTTTACCTACTCGAAGGGTTCTTACTACTCTTCTCCACCCCGATGACATTAACCTTGTGGTCAGTGCTATATTCTACATCATGTATTTCTATTAGGTTGGCGGGAAAGTTCTGTCACATTTTTTCAAACTAGGCTTTCTTTTTATAGAGAGGAGTGTAAGATCAAAATTGTACAGCAATGTTACTGCGGGGTCCTTGCCAGTGTTTGAGCACCTCATGGATGCCATCGCTTCACTATGCAGGGAGACACGACGCAAAGTTGGACACCATCTCAACTTCGACTTGAACTTGGGTTATGGAGGTTTTCTCGTCCGCGCATAACGATCGATTACGGAAGGCAACTTGCTATTAGAAGGGGCGATGTCTGTGCTACACAAGTGCAAGGGGAGAGAGATCAAGCCCTTGCATTCCATTGAGGTAACGGCTCGGAATCTTTTTGATCCGAAGTGCGTTTGCACTGATCTTTTGGTGGGAGGGCCGGCTGTGCGGACAAATTTTTCCCTCTGATCCACGATACGCCTTAGATCTCGTAGCTGCTTTGCGTACGCCTTGACCAAGGAAGCAGCTTCTTCATCCAGCAGTTTCCCGACCCATAGCTCCCTCAAGCTGAGTTTGCAGGTAACCCAAACCTCACCTTGCATTGTCACTCAAAACTGTAGGCTCCTAGGCTTCCCGCCTTGGAGCGTCATGTCGTTGCGAGTTGCTCGATGAATGGGGCAGATGCGTGCTTATTTTCAGCCTCATCAATTTTGGCATCCTGCAGGCTAACACGCTGGCGCGACAGTCGGCGGGTGGCGGAGAAATTCTTTAAGGGTTTGAGCTGAAGCTGTTGGATGGGTCGGCTAGGGCCCGAGCGGAGAGAGATCCGGCTGATGGAGCGGCATAAAATCCGGATATTGCAGAAGAAGGAGAAATGCCAGAGATGGTACTAACAGAGAGACCACTCCTTGTTTGTTTAAAAGCTTACATTACGGTCAGGCTGCGTTTATACTTTGCGGCAGCGTAGCGTAGCGCTTCCAGCGTACGCCAGCGGCAGTGTCGGGGAAAGGATAGATATCGATCTAGCGTTCCCAGCGTCACCAGCGTACGCTAGCGTGCCGCTAGCGCACGCTGGCGTAGCGAGGGCACGCTTGCAGCGACGGGGCTAGAGAGGGGCTAGAGAGTATTGAATGTAGGAGAGTACAAAATACTCTCCTCCCTTCAATACTCTCTAGCCCCTCTCTAGCCCCGTCGCTGCAAGCGCTGGGAAAACGCTGGAGAAACGCTGGTGAAGCTAGATCGATAGCTTATTGCCTTCCTGCCCTCGCGTCCGCTGGTAGACGCTCAGGGGAACGCTATATGTATCTATCCTTCCCAACAACTGCCCCTGCGCGTAACCTGGGAAGCGCTACGCTACGGTGCGCAAATTATAAACGCAGCCTTACTTTTCTTGTTAATGGTAGTAATTTGAGTTCGGAAAAAGAGTTGACAGAAATTTCCGCCAACGAATAAACATAATAGGCCATGACTTGGATACAGTCACATCGCGTGGGATGTGGAAGAGGGTGAATAGCGTGTCAGGGAGCGTGAGACAACCACACCACTAGCTGCAGTTTTCTACAAATAGTTGCCAATACTGTTGAGGAAACAATCTCAGCAATAAAGAACTGGGCTTGCACAGCTCCCGACCAGCTCCGCTAGAAGTGCTATCATCTGATGAATTTTTCCGTAACCAGGGCAGTACTGCACACTGAAGAAACATTTCACAGAAATAAGATCCCGAGAGTCACTCAGCCTAGTACGACCCTCTTCCAGCTCGCCACGTCCATTGCCTACTTACCACTTCTTTAAAGTCACGACCTGCACCTTTCCTGGGAAACGTTCTCACAGTTTAATTCAGAACAATATCGTGGTGTTTGATGGAGAGGACTTCCTAACATATGACGTGCTTTGACGGCGGCGAAGGTGTTTCATGAGATATTTTCATTTTGGACAGTTGTGATCAGGTCTTTGCCCAACATAGAACATTTCAATAGTTCTCTCAAACTAGATTGTCCCACGAGTAACTCTCCTAAGTAATCCTCAAAGGCCGCGCCTACTCCGTCGCAGGGATAAGGAGGGTAACATAAGCGTGAAGACAGAAATGTGGTTGAGTACTCGAATGATCACTATCAATTATTAAGTGAATATATGATGCGAGTATAAACTCTGTTAAAGAACTTATTGGCTGATCCACTCTACATTGGTCTTCGGCATGAAAGAATTCGTGGTCCGGAATACGATCGCCTCATCGATAACTTTATGAAAGCAGTAACCAAAAGGTGCGAGTCGTACATTGCGGTAGTGTATGCTAAAATGGTCCAATTTTTGAACGGTTTGAGGTTTGGCCGTGACACGCTCATTCAATTCGAGGACTTTGCAAACGTGAACGCTTTCCCCAATACTGGACAGATACAAGAACGATTACTGTACATTCAATGACGATGTCCAAGGTCAAGCGATCTTTGGTACTAACTCATAAGATCTGAAATCCAAGATGATTTTAGGAACAGCTGCGGTGGTAGTTGCCGGGTTATTGGCTGCAACTCGCGTCACCAAGCAGAAACTGTCAGAGCAAAAGATTGTGTTTCTTGGAGCTGGTTCGGTAAGATGGTTCAGCTTGATTTCTTAGGTCTTGCCTTCAATCGTTTGAATGTTCGACCGCGCTATAATGCCGAGTTGATGTGTACTTCAAACTGGAGTAGTTGAACCTTATTCAATGACTTTTTAATAGTTTCAACAACAGGTTGTTAGAAATAGGAGTGAGGAGTTAACGAGTTAGTAGAAGATGAGTAGAGAAACTCATAATAATAATTACATTGATTGCTGCATCGGTGAGGTGCTCCTTTTATAGCTTCCACGAGTGTGGTCTATAACGAACTGGCGAGCCGGGAGGGAAAGCACCCGATAATCTGACCACCTTATTTCACTGATCAAATCGTCAATCCTGTTTTTCCGAAAACAGATTCGATTAGAGTTTTGTTTCTACACTCCCGGCTTTTAGTTGCGCTGATAACGCTTGCGTGGTCCGGTTTTGTTTCCTCTGCAAATCGAAACGATCACTTGTCTCTTGCGGCGACAAGGTTTCAGGTCCTTGCTCCTCCTGCGAGCCTTGCTCATGTACCGGCAACACTGACATTTCTTCTCCTTGCAATTCCAGCGGTACTAGATGCCTTCTGGTCCCCGTGAGACGCTTCCACTTGGCATGCGTACTTCCAGTTCTCTGATCTGTCTGATCCTCTTTTCGCTGAAGAGATCCTATTTCCCACGTATTAAGTGGAACACTGTCGTCCACTAACAGCGCTGCCTGCCTTCTTCGGGTACCCGTGTTCCCGATGTTCTGCTGTTCATGTGCAATTTGGGCGCTTCTCTGAGACTCCTAAGGTAGGTTATCTCCGAAATCGCCCAAAATTTTTCCGTCATGTTGTGACTAGAAATAAAGGTTTGGAGGCGGACCGTTTCTTCTGGAGGTAAGTACTCCGGATCTTCGTGGTTCACTCGTAGTGTACTTGGTATTCTCGTTTCGCAGATAGCATTGAGAGGCACACAGTGGCTGTTTTCCGTCGAGTATCATGCGTATGACTGTGCGAGGATCATATTTGCGCGATAATTTGCGCCATAAATGAGTTGTTAAAGTTTGCGCATAAATGACTTGTTAACTCGTTAGCTTCCAGTCGTTCGAGGTGTGATCAAGCTTGAATATTCAATTGAAATCGCTTATCCTGGTTGATGTCGGTTGTGTGCGCAGCATCGACAAACCATATATGCGAGCAATTCTGTATTTATTAGTTGTCGAAAAGTCCTGCGACACTTTGACCAATTTTTCGGACTAAATTTTCAGTCACTAAAAGACATCTCCAATCTACAAGGTAATCACCACTAAGGACTAGGACTAGTGCCCTTCTTTTGCACAGCTTCTCATTTCCGTTCTCATAGAACTACGGCAACTATGATAAGAAGAAGATGTGGACCTCATTTTTGGGTAGACGTCGATTTTCGGAATTTTCGCCTTCTTATGGATGCGGTAGGGATCAAAAAAGGTAGTAGTTAGAGACTGCTAACTTTGATGAATAAGCTGGGTATGGTCGCATTCTCAGATCAAGATCCACGATCTTTTGGTGTGCCGGCCTGACCTCCTACCATCAGTCTTCCGCATTGCCCGAGGCGTGGAGACTGAGTCTCTTTTTTGCCAAGAACTATACAAAGTCCGGGTCCAAATCAATAAACAACCTGTGAGGTAAATAGCTCTAAGCGCATTGAGCCTCACTTACCGCTATTATGACATACAATACCAGAGATACCGCTTGAATCCACCACTAACCTACCTGAATCCTTATCCATGCACAATCTGCTTTTGGCTGTGCAATCTACTTTTCTCTCTGAGAGATCCTGCGAGGAACATGTGCAAGATGTACGCAAGGACCCCACCACTCTCTACCAACCACAAGATCTCACAAATGTTCCTCCAGTGTGTACAAGGAAAAAAAACTCAGTCACGGTCATTCGGTATGACTTGTCAGAGGGGTTCAACTCATGAGGCATCCTTCATAAAAAATTTTTCCGATAACCGAGACTGCGGAGAAGCATGGCAGTTGTCAGTTAGGTGGAGCCTAGAGAGGTTGCTAACTTACTGGTGGTTACGTTCGGCTGCGTTCCAAGAAGCTTGAGTAAAGGCCCGTCATTCTGTGCTGGTGGCCGACCTATAGACTTGCCTACTTCGCGAGTTGATTAGATCCACGCTGAAGCGCTGATCAAAAGGAAGCTCCTGCTATCGGCAAGGCGATATCCTTCTCAGACAACATAAGTGTTAGCTTCCTCGACTATGGCGGAGTTGCCCTACAGGAGCTCATAATATGGGATAGGTCGAGAAGTACCTTGATCTCTGAGGTATTTTTAATCTTTGAAAACTTCCACGGAGCCATGATAGACCCATTTTCAGAAACCCCAGGAGACATTCTCCACTAATCAGAAATGAAAACATTCAAAATGATTTTCGTTCTTTTTCTAGAATAGTTCAAACAAAGTGTCGCAGGACTTTTCCGACCAACCTAATTTATGTTGATTCCTCCCAGTACTTACCCCATTCCTTCCGAGGCGGTAAAGTTATTGATCAGCTAGTTCTCCTTAGACCACTTCTTTGAATAAGGATAATATCCTTTGAAGTGCGCGAAATTGAGATTGAATGACATAGGCAAACTCCTTCCCCACTTTTGACTGTATAGACAAACCTGTCGAATCCTTATCCATGTCTTCACCTGTAATCTGACACTCATTTGTTTTCTTTTTCTGATCATTTCGATGAATGCATCAGAAACATAAATCAATCACCGATTCCAACAGTTGAGTACTTCCAATCGGGTATGTTGCAGTTTTGGCAACGCTTCATAAGTGAATCCGACGTCCTCGGCAAGAGAACAATTTGCCAGTAGGCTACCGAGTGAGGTATTGAATCATAGGTCTTTCCCATCTCAAACTTGGACAATTAAATTTTACTCAGTGACTTTTATTAAAGGTCCGCAACAGGTTGTTAAAAATAGAATGAGGAGTTAACAGGTTAGTTGTAGGATGAGTAGAGAAACTGATAAGAATGATTACGTGCTGCATAGATGAGGTGCTCCTTTCATAGCGTCTACACAGTTGATCGATGATTTGGCGGGTCGGGCGGGAAAACAGCAACAGTGATTGTCCTGAGATCAGAGTAGATTAGAATTTTGTCTCTACACGCGCAGTATGCGCCACAAATGGAAAGAAGAAATAGAAGAGTAGAAACTAAATATAAATGCAATGCTGGAAGAGAGTAAAATGTACACTGCATACTGGTGAGTATGCGGTGGGTACCACTGCAGACAACACAAGTTTCAGGCGCAATTCGGCTCGTTGTGGGTACGAACGTAAACTCAGCGACCATTTTGCAAGCCGCTTAGTGAAGACTTGTAAACTTCAACCAGTGTGGCTCACTTGCGCCACTTCTCAGTGTCACAAGAGTTCACAGGTATCACCAAAGTGAGCCGTATTAGCTAACATGCGAAAATAACCAGCCAAAGTTCAACATGCACCCTCTCATCCCCTGGACGTCCGGAAGAATCCGTATTTTCTGGGATAGAGGCCATCTTCTGCCAAGGTCACACAGACGCACGTCGCAACAGCCAACAACATGTCGCGGAAAATACTGATAGCTACAGCAACGGTTTTGCATTCTTGCATTCCACTTTCCAGTT